ACGTTGTCGGTTAGAGTGGTGGGTTTGGGTCCCGAGGGCACGGGGACTGAGGCGGGAACTTGGAGGAGCTCGGAGTCTGCAGTTGGGTCGGTGGGTGTGGCGAGTGCTTCTTGGTGGCTATAGAAGACTTTCAGGTAGTTGTTCTCGCAGAACTCAAGAGCCGAATTAAGGTCTTCGAAGATGGGCACGCCGGACTCTGGCTCAAAGAGTCCTACGTTTTGTAGGGACCTGCCTACGTCACCTTCGACATTCAAGCCGGAGATGGCTATCTGTACATTGCGCTTTCGGAGAACACGGTTGATGCGGGTGAATGCTTCTGCTGCTGAGAAGTCAAGTCCGTAGACCCGAGAAAAGTCGAGAATAAGAAATCGAATGGGACGCCGGTTGAAAGCTTCCTCCTCAATCAGGCCACGCATGGTGTTCTCAACATTAACGATGGTTCCAAAGAAGAGATATCCACCAAGTTTGATGATCATGGTTTGCTGTCCAGCTTCGCGTAGGAATTGCTGTTGGATAGGGGGACGTCGGACGGTCGACCCGGAAATTTCGCCCGAGAATGTTGCTCGAATGGCGGATTTGCGAGAGGTCTGGACCACAAAATTCACGCAGGCCAAAATGATCCCAATGAAGATTCCAACCACGAAGTCCCAAGCGCCCATCGTAACGACGATAATGACAACGGTTAAATACTCAAGTCGGGTGAGTTTTCCCCATGTGTCCACCAATGCCTCTTGCAAAAGCTCAATACCCAACAAGAAAATCAAGGCACCGACAACCATAATGGGAATATAACCGATTATGACTGGGCCAATGACCATAATCCCTGCAGTAGCTGCAGCCAACATCAGACCGGCCAACCGAGATGATCCGCCACTTGCAATGAAGAGAAGACTGTTTGTATAAACAAGATAGTTCTGCTTTCGTTAGCTCATTAATCACAGCTCTATCAATAGCGGTCACATACCTGAATGCTTCCTGCAAATCCTGAAAGTGCATTTGTTACGCCATGTGCCACAAGCTCTCTGTCGACATTGAGATTGTCTTCACCGGTGGATATGCCGAGAGCAGGTACGTTAATAGGCACATGAAGTACACCAAAGAATGTCAAAGCAAACATGGCCGGTATTGTCTCACTAAAGGCAGTCCAATTGACAGCCGAGAGATCTGCAACGAATCAGCATGGCAACCCCCAAATTATTGCAGCCAATCAACTTACCATAAAGAGTATAGAAATGGTACCACGGGTCATTGGAAGTTGGGGCATCAAAAACCCATCCATTGTGGCGCAGAGCACCCATGGAAATCCTGGCACTTAGAACGACAATGTAGAATATTGCCGCAACGGCAATGAAATACCCACCGACAAGGAAGTTTGAGCGAACAAATCGTTTGAGAACAAGAAGCCCAATTGCAAGGAACAGGGGTATTATCCAAAGAGGGAAGGTGTCAAGCTGGAAAAGTTTCTGGATTGTGGGAAGACTGTACTCAAAGGACCCGGGAAGCCGGGCTGAGACTTCCAATCCAGTCTGTAACAGAAAGTATCCCACACCACCGATGCATCCAATGAGAATATGACGGGGAAAGAATCCAATGAGCGAGCCCAATCCACAGACACCCATTAAGAAAAATACCAAGCCAGTGAGAATCGAACTGGCTGAGAAGGCTAGGATGGTCGTTGCAATCACTGATTTCGGGTTGTCTTTGCCGACTGAATTCATGATAGTGAAAGCCATCTGGTGGAAGAACGGTACTACTTCAATCATCTCACTTCCTATTCCTCCTTTGAAGATCGAGCCTCCACAGGAGAATACCACTTGGGAAATGATGGTACTAACATAGAACATTGAGATACCATCAGTTCCTAGATGAGAGAACAAGGGCTCTCCCAGAGGGAATAAGATCATTCCATAGGATAAGGCATCGAGAATATTGAGAAGTAGTCCCAGCAATACGGCAGGAACCAGACTGACAGGATGTACCACAGCCTCTTTCCATATGGCTCGCTTATCCCATGACTTTGGGTTTGACAGAATCCGAGTATAGTGAGTGGCAGATGAAATTCCTTTTGTTATTAAGTTTGGAGGCCGTTCGACAGCTGCTGTTTGGTTCTCGGCATCGCCTAAACTTCCATAATTTTGTGTAGATTTGGATTGTGAATTGGGTAATAACGAGGTGTGCTCATTGTCTTGTTCAGGCTCCTCATAGGTCTTTGGTGATGGGGGTGAGGGGATACCATCGGTCCCTGGTTGCGTGACCTGGTCCTCCATCGTATCCGGCAATGGACGGCGAATCATCTCTGTCAAGGCCGAAGGGCCTGAAGGCGAAGTAGGCTCCACAGAGGCATATCCCGGTTCCAACAAAGCGTTCCCTTCGGCATTATGGGAGCTTGTAGCTTCATCCTGGGAGTAACTTGAAGAATTTTGGTTGGCGTGGAATATATCAAGGTTAGGGGGTAACCCAGCCCCGTCCCTCAAAATGGACTTTTTATTCAGTGAAAGGCCATAGGTAGCGAGTTCTGCGGTCTGGTCACGGAGGCCGTCCGAGGCATAATGAGCCGGGTCTGCTATAGGTCGAATGGTCAGTAAAAAATCGCGCGGTGTCTCTAACGGTACATCATGCGCAGTGACCCACCCATATTGATGTTGAAGGACCGGTGGTAAAATGAACGGGTTGGCGTCCTCATCGTCGCTCCATTGTAACTGGATGATTCCGCTCCCATTGGACCGGGCGGGCTGCCTAGATTTGCATGTTCCACCAGCGTTTCTGACGGGACATTACCCTGGATGTCGCGGTCAAACATCAGATTGCGTGACAGTGCTGATGCGCGAGAGTCGCGACGGCCACGAGGTTGCAGCACCGCCATGGTGTTTCGTGCAGTTGCCGTCCAACCAAGTGATGAAGCCGAAAAGGTTAAGAAATTCGGAAGATAAAACGGGGCCACTAATGCATGGGGCGACCGTTCGGATAAACAAATGACGCAATCGAGATGAGCATTGCACAGAAGGACAGTGGATTTATATGTATATAAGAGAAGCAGTTATCAACACAAATATGAATTAGCAACAAACAAGATAGAAAAGCTCATCTGAAAGTACCGGGGTTTTCCAAGGTTTTGACTAAACCTCCCTTATCTCCCGGGCTAACAGTCGAGCTAAACCACATCTGGACTGATACCGATGAAGATAAAGTGAGGTGGTCCGTGCGAAAGACTAGGGGAAAACAGCCATGTGGATAAAACACCTAGCCTCTACGGAGTACTTTTCTAGGGCTCTCCTTACAACGCCTGTCTTTTCAATTGCACTAAATCTGAACTAATTCTCAAATTCTGAAACCGCATATATATTGTGTAGCAAGTTGCAGCTCCGTAGTCGGACACTGTGCTATACATACGTTGCATGATTGGTATTGACATTATGCAGGAGCATAAGCCCTGTTCTTCCTTGCATAACGCCATACAGCATAAGCCAATGAGCTCTAGGTTCATTTGCCGATATTTGCCGGATATTTCATACGTCTCTAGCTTAATTCTTCCTCGCATTTCCAAAGTGATTGTCCAAGTGCATCTGGATTGTAGGCGAACCTAGCCCTGGAGAATACATGAGAGAAAAAAAAAACATTGATTAAACCGGCAATCATGCACAACCAGACTCGTGTCACACACCATTGCAATGCAAAAAAATCATTATTTTGGCCATTAGGTCTAGACACGCTAACGGCCGGGGTATCTCAAAGTACATGGTCCCTTCACAAACCATTGTAGATAGCCAACGCCAATTCAAGTTTCTTGTACTCATATAGAACCTGAAGGCCAGGTCGTTCCGGCTCTCATTCAAGTCAACCGCTCCAGGAAACCCTGAGCAATCAACCGTTCAACATCACCCTGACGAACATAAAGCTGACTGTTCTTGGTCAAGTTGATCACACTAAACCTGAATTAGCCACTAGATCCCCAAACAATGTAAAACCTCACCAAAAAAACATACCCATATTCTGTCTGAATCTCTCCAGCATCCTTCAACACCCGTACGTCAATAAACAAATCCTTTGGCGGCTCCAGAGTCCCTGTCAAATCAACGTCTGTCCACTGGCCCTTATATGCAGCAAGCATATCCCCGTACTGGCGAAAGTACTCCTCCTCTTCGGGACTCAGCGAACTATGCCCGCTAGCCCCGAAAGCCGTGTGCTGAGCCGCCTCACTGTCTTCGGACGGCTGCTGCTGCTCGAGGATATCTACTCCCGTCCAGCACAGCTCCTCGAGCTTTTCTGTGCGCACACGGTGGTACGCAAGCAGGCAGCGCTTGTTCCGGCGCATGCACAGGTGATCGACGAGTAGCGCACAGGCAATGGCCGGGTCAGCCGAGGGATTGAACCCGCCCTCGAAGGGCTCTAAAAGGCGGGTGACATCGCGGTCGAGATCGCGAACTTCGCGAGTTACTGCGCGTACAATCTCAGTTTGGTAGGGAGGCAGGTGGGCGAGGGATTGGGTGCGTTTCGCGTGTTGGACCTATCGCGGGTAAGGTGTTGGTCAGCGGGCTGAGTTTCCAGGGCTTTTCTTGTTTTGTTATTTCGCCGTCGGTGTTGGTGTTGGGATTGTGAAACCCCAAGAGCATCATAAGTTTATAGATCACGTACCAATTTGTTGCCGAGTTCGCCGTACATGGTGGCCACGCGGTCGGGGTCCTGGTGAGGGACGCGACTTTGATCCATTTCGGCGAGCGCCAAGATTGGCTCTTAGTCAGGTGGAGTGATCGGCGCCAAGGTCAAGTATGGAGTCACTTTTTGGGTAAAGGCACTTGATCTCCGAAAAAGATAGATGAGAGATACATTGGAAGTGACAGCAATACCGTGTAGAGCTGAGGTGCCACACTTGAAAGAGAGGGGAAAGCGCAAACCAAGCTAGAAGGGGCACAATGGCTTCAATTGTGGACAAATCGAGGAAAAGTGACCAATGGGATTATTTTCGGATCAAGAAAAAAAAAAGCCAATGGTCGATACTAATATCAATAGTGCATAGAGGCCCTCATTTGGTTGTATCCGGCCTGTGTGATCGGCTCATACTTTGCAACACCTCCGATATATGGAATACATTCAATCACCGAGTCAGGATCCGGTGCCATAAAATACGGAATAGAGAATCGTCTACGGGTCATACGATCTTGTCCTTCAAATCTATCTGGAAGAGGCGGCAGAGTGACTCGATGGCTGGTAGACCTCAGAAGATCTATATAAGTCAGCGGTCGAGAGCAGACCAGGAGCATACCAAGCGACAAACCATTACTCCACCTCTGCAAAAGATCCCCCACATTCATCACAATCGCATTCTTAATAGGCGTTGCAGAGACAAAAGTCCCCGGTGATGAAACATCCTCGACTTCCAACCCACCACAATCATCTTGAAACAGCAAGGTGATCGAGCTCCAGTCGGTATGTGCGGGGCATCTGGCTGCACGCTCTGTCTCAATTGCTTCTGCCGGAATAGGGGGATAGTGTAGTAGGCGAAGTTGGTTATTATGACCCGAGTGTTTCTGAAGCAGATGGTTCTCATCTAGCTCCAAGCCAATAGCAAGCGCTTGTAGAATTTCCCCTCCGATGCGGAAACACTCCCAGTAGAAGTGGTGCATAAAGTCACGGAATCCGGGGAGACTGCATTCTGGCAGCCACTGATTAGGCTGCGTGGTGTTCTCGTCGCTTCCTATATCATAGCTTTCCTATATCAGGTCAATGAAGCTCGAAATTACACATAGATAAACTCGGTGCCGACTGGGAGGTATGGGATTATGGACAAACACAGCGGGCTCTCACTTTGATGTCTGTAATCTCCCTCAGTTTGTCTGCCCTTTCCTGATCGTCACCCGTACTCATCACCTGCGACACCTTCTCTAACCCAGGCCAAGAGTACCCTCTGTGAATCGCCCATCCCTCTGGATGGGGCGCTTTGAGTTTCTCGTCCTGTGGTAGTTCGAAAAATAGCTTCGACCAGTTGAATGCCTCGTCTAACATCGACTCTGGCAGTGAGTGATTGACAATGTATACAAATCCCACTTTTTTGCAAGCAGCAACGATGTCTTGCGCGATTCGCTGACGACTGGACTCCGTGTTCCATCCAGCAAAGTCCACGACAGGAATATTTGGGCACTTAGCGGAAGCCATGGCACTTTGGTGTTATATCGGGGTGTAATGGTTAAAAAACAAATCAAGAGCTTAGAAAAAAAAAACAAAAAGAGTAAGTTTCTAACCTAGCACTCCTTGCAAGTCAGATGAAGAATGTAAACATAACAGTGGTATCAAATCGGAAACAGTGGACATCTTACTGAGCACGGTCCACCGGGTCCTACTAAGAGTTCAGTAGCAACCGCCTGACCTGTGATCAGAGTGACATTGCCAAATATCCCCAATCGTAGAGATACAAACACCAGTCCACGGGAACGTAAAATGTTGAATACGCTACATATCTATGCTCACATCCATCTACATATGTCGTAGCTACGTAGGTACTACATACATAACATACTACTCCGTACATACATAAACATATATCTCTAAAAATACATGTACCCCACCCCCACAATGTATCCACAATCTTCCTAAACTCTTCTCCATCTACACCTCAACCTACACAAATTGAATTGAGAGCTGAAAATCACCTGAAAAATGGGATACTCCTGCTGTGGCTCACCGGTTCCAGTTCCTGAGACTGATATCTCGCCAATCGTGGCTGCAACTGTGGAGACGAACAGTTCTACGGCTTATCAACGCAATGGCGACGACTCTAAGCCTCCCGACACTACGGCCCCCACTCATGGAGAGCCTACCCAGGAGAAATCAAATATTTCCTGCTTTCCTGGTGAATGCGTGGGCAACAGAACTGAGAATGATACTGACGCGCCTGACTGCTGTCGTGGCAAAGTTGGCCCATGCTGCGACATGTCTTGCCTTGACCGCTTGGCTATGCGGGAATGCGAGACAAGCGCTGGGGGTCTAAACGGTCAGCCAGACAGTGAGCAGCCCCTTTTTGATAATTTCTTTCAATGTTGCTAACTCCTCTCAGCTTGTGGTGAGGCTACCGACCACAAAGCATGCAGCCAACATAGTCTCTCTGCCCTCGACCGCTATGGAGCTACGTTGCAAGCCCTGGGATGTATCTGCCGTGCTCTCATTGCTCTTGGCCAGGAAACCTGTTGTGAAATTCGCGAGCGTCACTCACTAGACAGGAAATCATCTGCTCGTTCCCTTCTTCTCACTTCGCTAGATTCCTCCAGTAGCAACGGCTCTGTTGTCAAGGACCAGGCCGCGCGGAACCGTGCCCACCTACCGAGGAGCTCTGGTAAAAGTGCCAGGTTTGTCAATAAGCCGTTTGCAGATGCTTGCGTCTCTTTTCTTCCGAAGGACAAACCCGCCAAAGAGCCTCCTGTCAAAAGCAAGTGCTCCAAGTCGTGTTCCTCTGAGGGCACATCAGCCAGGGAACAACCCCTAAAGAGTGACTGCGCTGAAAAGTGCTGTACGGGAAAAAATACCGTCAAAGAAGCCTCAACGAACAATAAGTACTCATGTTCTTGCTGCTCAGAAGACACGCCGGCCACGAGTCCATCTGTCGAGGACAACTGTGCCAAGTCTTGCTTCTCCTTCAAAACTTCCGCGAAGCAGCTTGCTGCGCAACCTGAACGCCTCGGTTCTTGCTGCTCGGAGACCTCTTGTGCCGAGACATCCTCTCCCAAACCTGACTGCACTGGATCTTGCTGTCTCGGAGACGAGTGCATCAAAGACAATGCCACTAAGAGCACTGATGCGGGATCGTGCTGTCGAAAGTTCAAGCCCGTTGCTGAGCCGCCCGCTAATGATTCTGCAGGATCTTGTTGCAGAAGAGCTAAGAAAGCGATCACTAAAGAGCCCTCTAACGCCGTCTCTGACTCTTGCTATAAACCACCGGAGCAGGATATCTTCGAGGCTCCAAAAGCTAGTTGCACAGACTCTTGCTGCACAGAAAGGCAGCCGATCAACTATCAAGGCTCTTGCGCCGATGCTTGCTGCTCCTCTACTCCACCCAACTCTGGTTTTAGGATTGAGAAATCCCCGATTGATGCCATCACTGATTTAGAGAATCAGGGTACCGGCAAGGAGCATGTCGTTCTCAGCATTTTTGGCATGACTTGCACTGGTTGCGAGACGAAGCTCAACCGAATGCTCGTTACTGTCCCCGCTGTCAAAGACCTGAAAACCAGTCTAGTTCTCTCACGAGCTGAGTTCAACATCGATCTCCGTCTTAGCTCGGTGGAAGAAGTCATGAAACATCTGGAGCGAACGACTGGGTTTAAGTGTGAAAGAGTCCAGAACCCGGGATCTAGCCTAAATCTTATTGTTCCCGGCGAACAATCAAAATTCATTAGTCAAAAGTGGCAGAGGGAGTTATTGACATGGTACCCGTGGATAAGCAGACCGTGCGAGTGGCTTTTGATCCAAAAATTCTGGGAGCTCGAGACCTCACTGAGAAGACCTGGGGTCAGCCATTTGAACTTGCTCCTCCACGCGGTGATCCTTCCCTGGAGGCTGGCAGCAAGCACGTTCGTCATGTCGGATATATGACCCTTTTTTCCGCCATTTTGACGATCCCGGTCCTAGTCATGGCATGGGCTCCGCTTCTTGAGAGGGAGATAGCATATTCCTCGGCTTCCCTCGCCTTGGCCACGATTGTTCAAGTTATCATAGCAGGGCCATTCTATCCCAAGGCCCTGAAAGCTCTTGTTTTCTCGAGGGTTATAGAAATGGACCTTTTGATTGTCTTGAGCACCAGTGCTGCTTACATCTTCTCGGTTGTCTCCTTTGGGTACCTCATTGCAGGAAAACCCCTTTCTACGGGTCAATTCTTTGAAACAAGCACTCTTTTGGTCACTTTGATCATGGTTGGTCGATGGATCGCCGCTCTCGCTCGTCAGAAAGCTGTTGAATCCATTTCTATCCGGTCACTTCAGCCGTCGAAAGCTATTCTTGTCGATAAAGAGAGCGGAACGGAACGGGAGATTGACGCCCGACTTCTTCAATACGGCGACACCTTCAAAGTTCTCCCTGACACCAAAATCCCCACCGACGGCACTGTCCTCAATGGGTCGTCCGAGGTTGACGAATCTATGCTCACTGGTGAATCTAGACCGGTGGAAAAATATCCCAAGTCTGTGGTGATTGCTGGGTCTATCAATGGACCTGGGGTTATGACTGTTCGACTGAACCGTTTACCTAGTGACAACACTATCAATGCTATTGCTGCGATGGTCGATGAGGCCAAACTGTCGAGACCAAAGATACAGGATCTAGCAGACCGGGTCGCATCCTATTTCGTGCCGGTTGTTGTGGCATTGACGATCATCACATTCGTCATTTGGATCGCAGTGGGCATGACTATTCGTGGATACGATGGATCTGAGGCTACAATTCAAGCCATTACCTACGCTATTACTGTCCTTATTGTCTCTTGCCCCTGCGCTATTGGATTGGCTGTTCCTATGGTCATTGTGATTGCCAGTGGAGTCGCAGCGGAAAGAGGTGTTATCTTTAAGTCAGCAGATGCTATTGAATTAGCCTATAAGATGTCGCACGTCGTATTTGATAAGACTGGGACCTTGACTCGGGGAAAGCTTTCTGTCGTCGCGAAAGTCTGCATCGATGTAAACCAACTCCCGCTTCTTCTAGGCCTCATAGAAAACAGTCGTCACCCAGTCTCAATTTCTGTGGCTGCCCACCTAAAGGACGCCGGAGCTATGGCTTCGATTGTTCCTGGGCCCAAGAGCCTTACTGGTAAAGGTGTTGAAACCACCTTGGGTGGCCGGAGACTTCGAGCAGGCAATTCTCGCTGGCTGAATTTATCAGAACATGAACTTGTCCAACCAATGCTTTCTCGAGGATACACTGTCTTCTGCTTCACAATCGATGATGCGCTAAATGCGGTATTTGGCCTTGAAGATGAGCTTCGACCTGATGCTGTAGAGACGATCGAGACATTGCATAAGCGTGGCATCTCGGTACATGTGGTTTCTGGCGACGATGACGGAGCTGTTCAGATTTTAGCGTCCAAGCTTGGCATTCCTGGCGATAATGTGCGTTCTCGAAGCTCACCTGTTGACAAGAAGGACTACATCCAGAAGCTCCTCGGTACTGGCACAGATGGCAAGGAACCAGTTGTTGTTTTTTGCGGTGACGGCACGAACGATGCCGTTGCTCTCGCGCAAGCTACGATCGGTGTCCACATGAACGAAGGTACTGATGTCGCGCAATCCGCCGCGGATGTGGTTCTCATGCGGCCTTCTCTGGCTGGCATCCCCGCCATGATGAACGCCAGTCGGAAGTCTGTTAACCGCATCAGGTTCAATTTTACATGGAGCTTCGTATATAACACCTTTGCAGTCCTTCTTGCTGCGGGTGCTTTTGTTAATGCGAGGATTCCTGCAGAATTTGCGGGACTGGGAGAGTTGGTGAGTGTGTTGCCAGTCATTGCTGCTGCGGTGCTTCTTCGCTGGTCGAAGATCTAGACAAAGAGCGCCATCATTGCACGATTGATAACGGCTGAAGTTCTACAATCTCTCCTCTCTTTGATGACTGATTGGAACCTTCGTTTTTTTCAAGGTAATCCGGCCGAGAAGAAATTGTTAGTATTGATCGGAGAATACATTAAGCCAATTATAGGGTTACCGGAGGCTTTCTTCTTTTGTTTTAAGTCACTGGTTCTCCTTAGTATAAAGCTGCTCACAAACACTGTCAGGGACGTAGTTATAGGCCTTGAGGTCTCCCCCTTGCTCTACAGAGTATGTTTTAATTAGGGGCATTTATATGGTGTGTTCTCGGCTTGTAGTACTTTTTCCTGTCGGATTTCGCCAGCAGTATTGTCCTTTGTGGGGATATATGGCTCCGGGGCATTTGGCACGATACACATCCCGCCATGTAGGATATTGGCCAGATGATTGCTCGGTGTTAATCTGAACGTCTCAGTCCGCTAGCCTCCTCTCAGTGGCCGGTGGCTGATGAATTTCCTCGTTCTATGGCTTCTAGTACAGTTACCCTACATGTATCTAAATTTCCTTTTCTAGAAGGTTTGCCTTTTTGGGTTTGCCCCATTACTGCAGCGCCTACCCACATTATCACACTTGAATCTTAAGATCGCCCTTTCTAAGCATTGCCACATGATTCTCATGATGAATACCACACTATAGCGGATCCTTAACATTGAGGATACCCTAGTGGTTGATAGATCGGTGGAGAGGATTAGTGGAAAGTGAGGTTTGGATGGTTGGAAGAGACGGTGTGGAGGGAACAATTGATAAATTCCATATTGATAGTGCCTCAATGGATTATTGGATTGCTCCTGACTGGTAACATCCATAGATGATTTATTGAAATATTAAGATTTGCCTGGACTCCGGAGTTGTCCACCCCAATCAGCCCAACAGTTCAGCTGCAGTAGTGAGTTGAATGTCAAATTGTGTCCCACATTTTGTTCCGCAGTAAGTAGTTATTGAAATTATTTCAATACATATTAACGGAATTTCCCCGGCCATTAATAGAATTAATATAAAAATTAATATAATCTGACTTGGGCTTCGGGTCTAGAGGGTCGGGCTGCGGTTGCTAGGGCATCCCGGCGGAGATTTGTGACCTGACCTGGGAACTACATCATTTGTTCTTTAAACTCTGATATTTTTTAGAATCCCTTGGATTTTCTTTTAGACCGTAATTGATCAGGTATGTTCAGTGCTGAGTCTCCAATTATACTCCTCGCGACCGATGAAAGCTAATCTTACTCCTTTGAGTAGTTTGTTGACACTGCCAGCCCCAGATAACGCCTCCAACGACGAAACGAAGCATGAAAATTGACCACTAAACTCCCCCAATCGACCGAAATCTCAAACCAATTCCTCCAAACCGACCATTCCAACCCCCGCTCCCCGATCCCGAAAATGCGGGCTTCCCGGTGGATCTGGATTGCTGCCACATTCCTCACCTCGACCGTCCACTCAACAGAGACAGCACCCTTCACCCCAGCAGAAGAAGCCACAGCCAACAAGCGAGCCTTTGAAATTCTCCGCATCCTCAGACGAGCCAACAACAACTGCCCGGGCGGCTTCATCCCCTGCACCGAACTAGGCAACGCCGACGCATGCTGTAAGCATGGAACGAACTGCTCACGCGATGACGCCAACAACATCGCCTGCTGTGCGAGCGGCGCAAGCTGCACTGGCCGTCTAACAGGCACAAAGACAGTGGGCACAGGCACGGCCTTCATGTTCCCCAACACCGCAACCGCAACCGCAACTACCGAGGGCGGTATCACCGGCTCGACACTAGACGGCCCATACCCATTTGTTGCTGTCCCGACCGCTTTCAATAATGCTGAGACTTGCTCATCTTACTACTCCATGTGTCAGTCTGACTATACACAGTGCACTGGCGCGCTGATGGGCCGCTACGCGGTCACTATTGGCGGTGCTGGGGAGGGGAAGACGGTTCAGGCTATCACGGCTGCATCGCAGGCGACCTCTATTTGCTCAAGCTTGAGTATGGACGCTTGCCATGGTCTTAACTTAGGGTATTGTGGCAGCGTTGCGACACAGACTGGTAGTGCGGATGCGGCTGGGAATGATGCTTCTCCTGTACGGATTACGAGTCTTCATGATTTGGTCTTGGGGCTGGCAGTTGGAGTTGCGGGGATGTTTATATGATTCACGGATTTGGAATGACATTTTGAATGGGTCCTTTTGTTTGTATATCCTTTTTTTTTCTCCTGTGAATTTTCTGTCACCATGTGGAGCAATCAGAAACATTTGGAATTTATGATATATATGTAAGTTTGGCTTTAGGTCATAACTCTGCCAGTTCTCTCAGTATGTATGCTTCAAAAAAAAAACTGCTTATGTGACTAAAGTAGATTTGAGGTATCGTCATCCATCAACGAGCTATTCATCCACATTCAATTCCGATGAAGTACAGATATGCGTCCCATGCCCAGTTTATATCTTCCCCTTATGAAGCACCGTACTTTTTAAGTTCCTATTTTAGAGAAAGATAGAGTCTTTTCTGTCCAGGTGAGAGCATAGGCTATTACGCCGAATGATGAGATGGGAATTGTCGTCTTGAGCAGGTAGTTAGCACCATTAGATATCTCCCGCTTAATGTATGAGCATCAAATGCAGTGGAAAAAAAAACTAGCCCTCCCCTTAAGTTCCATTGAATGGCTTTTTCGACCCATTGAAAGATATGAAATGCTCCTAAGTCCACTACATGATTAGGACACAGAGATAACTGTGATTGAGATTCGATCAAACATTAGTGAGGGGTCATCTCTTTTAATCTAGCCTAGTTCGGTAAAATTTGCTGCGCTGTTGATTGATCAGATGGACCTTCTGCTAGTACCCGTGGACTCGGTCCGTGATCCGTGGTCTGATATCCGATATGGCTCCCGAGGTCCGCCATGGCGTTTTAAAAAATGGTTAGACCATGGTTGGTAATATCTGCCCCATTTTTATTTCGAACAACCTGGGTTTTGAACACCGGCCGTGCAGATCTAATGCAGGCACGTGACTTTTAGCTGTATAGAACCAATCACATGCTGCGAAAGGACCCACTCACCGTATAACCTCAACATAAAACGGCGGCGAAAAAAAAAAATTTGTGCTTCTCTTTGATTATGCGTGTCATCCTTAGTGCAGGGGCCATGCTAATCTTCTCTGTATATTTTTATTTGACCATATGCCCCAAAGGGCGAAATATTAAGTCGTTCTGTGCTATATAACCCCCATTTCCGGCAGAAAATTACCGCCTAGGGATCACACGGCCTGGTTCGACATGACAGTGGCAGTTGTTTGTCAAGACAGATGGTGAATCAGATGATATATATGTACGGAGTAATTTGATAACCTATTCTCTAGATACAAGCACTTTTTTATCACTGCATAGGGTACATACTCCGGAGTACATATCTTCTACATAGGTTCTCTACACCTGTGACCTGGGCTCAACTATAGAGGGCGAAAAACGTCTCTTAGGCCGACCCGCGATTATTGTCCCAAACTCCTGGATCCCTGGGTCGACTTCCATCTTTTCAGGGCGTCGCTTGGTAATCCGAGGCTAATGAATTCTACCTAACCTTGCTGGAGGTTGCCCAGGTGCCTAACAGTCTTAGCCATGCGACCAATCATGCCCAGATAGATACCTACCCGTGGTCATTCCAGGTTGGCGATGGAACATGGGTCAGAAGGTAATAATTCTAGACGAAATGTGGTTAGCGGCTATACTCCACGACCAATTGAAAAACGGGCACGGAAAGACAATTAGAGGTGTCATGACTTATAGTGGAAAGTTGAATAGAACAAGCACTCGGGGCATTTTTGGTCCTGTTACATTCATTACTACTCGCATCCGAAAATGGTCTGCAACATCGGGTTCTGTTTAAATTCCTTTGTTGCACAGCACCTCTTGCTCAGTGTTGAGATTCTTGGTCTTCGGGCTCTCAGAACATTGCGAGGTTTGCCAGTTCATTGCATCCGGCTCGCATATTAGCTGTGTCATGTCGCCTGGTTTAGAATCCCATCCAACACACGCACGGGCTAAGACCCACCCAGCACACGCACAGGTTAAGAACACCTCACCCATGGCCTTGACAGTTGCTCAGTCTTGGGGTCAATAGTGATGACAGCAGGGAGCGAGATCGTGGATAGCCCGAAGCTCGTTTTGAACGTGACCAATTTTGGCAATACGAAGAGACTCACGATCCATGGATGACCTAAATTGGCAGTTGTCCGGTGATAAGCCACCTCGGGAGTAACAGTGGACAGGAAATCAACATCCGATGGAATCAAATATGCTGATGGGATTATCGCTAGGGTTGAGCCATTTATATCAGCAATCATGTAGATAATCAATGGTTTCGCAACATGTACCAGCATAAGTCGTTAGAGATATTTCCATAACAAGAGAAAGAACGATATGACTAGCAGATGAGAGGCATGACAGAGTGAGGGTCCCCTAGACAAGCATTGCAGAGTCGCTTAGATATTGGTACTCTTATATTGAAATGACTCCTTGGCAAAGCTTTATCATTGAATTAGTGAATATATAGAAACCGTCTTCGATCTCTTTCAAGGCAAACAAATTCATCGTCATATGATGCAGAAACACTTTAGGTGATCTCCCCTCCAGCAGCTCTCCTATGGCTGCAGGTCCGATCGGACCTCCAGGGCTTTCAAAGCATTGGGCAATTCATTGTCGGGCTGCCATTGGCGGCACCGAATACCCCGACCATCCATGGATGACATCCGCGACATGCATGTTTTGCAATTTATGGGACTCATGGCTGCCCAACGTATACACAATTGAATTGTGTTCCCTTTTTTTGAGTCATAGACCTGGTCCTCGAATTCTTACCTAGATCATGACAATTTTAAAATAGCGGTGTTGGACAAAAAGCAGCTGCCACGCGGGGTGGAGAAACCTGCATTCGGCCGTTGATCGCTTCTGACAGGACGCAAGTGAGGGGACCACTCAGGGCTTGTTATTCAGGTAAAAAAATGGCGTTGGACTAATCAAAATCAAGTAAATTTTATTAATATGAAACCCCAGCCACCATGAAAATAAAAAGAAAGTCTTGGTGGGTTAGGCGATTGGTAGGAAATTGGGTGGTTGGGTATACTGAGAGAGGCTGGGAGACGCTGTGTAGCTAACAAACTGGAACAATTCTCCCCTTTTGAACTTTTCTCATTCTGTTTTATTCTTTGTCTACATTCCGATCTCTTGACGTCTCAGGAATTCGAGGTCTTTGTTTACCAGTGGTCTACTAAGATCGCTCGAGTATACGGGTGAGACAAGACTACTGAGAAACACCACTCCAATCCAAATCTCAGGCTCCCAGACTCGAGTGATTTAGCCATTGGATTTCGGGAAGGGTTGCCTCGATCTTTCCTTTTTTGCAATGCGGTCTTTATCCGTCCTGCCGGTGCTTTCGACACTTGCCCTACTTCTCAACTACTCGCTCCTCACGGCCGCAACCCCGCTCGCATTTGAAGCAAACGTCCTCGAAGAAAACAGCCTTGAGAAGCGCTGTGTAAACCCTTGTGGCTACAACGGCTGGCTTTGCTGCGAGGCTGGTCAGACATGCACTACAAACAGTGCCCAAGAGGCCGTCTGTGCAGATGGTAGTGGTAGTGGCAACAGTGGATACTATCAATATTACACAACCACCTACGTGCTCACCAATACCGACCTAACAACTATTACCTCTGTTTGGAGCAGCCATATCGCCGCAGCTACAAGCACGGGTACGTGCAGAATCGATCTCGGCGAGACAACGTGCGGCTCGACTTGTTGCGAGGCTGCGCAAGAATGTTATGAAGGCCAATGTGTCGCTGAGAGCTCTTCAGTTATTGTGGCTGCTACAGCAACAGAACCAGGATCAGAAGCCACACCGGGCGTACGAGCGACTAGCAATGGGGCAAGCACTGTAACAGAAACCTCAGCCCCAACCACAACTGAGGGATTCACAGCCCCAGTTGGAACGGACGGGGCAGCTTTGATCGGGGTCCAAGCCACAACTAGCAGCGGATTGAGTGGTGGAGCTATTGCAGGAATTGTCATCGGCAGTATCGTCGGTGCGTTCTTGTTGCTACTCCTCTGTGCCTGCGTCTGCTTTAAGGGCATCTTGGAAGGACTGCTTGCAGCACTCGGTATTGGCAAGAAGCGCCGCAGACAGGACACAACATATATCGAAGAGCGTCATTCTCGCCATTCACATGGCAGTCGGCCTCCTCCCCCCCCCCTCCTCCCGGTGGGCGAACGTGGTTTGGAGCTAGACCAGCTGCGGGAGGTAGTGAGGTTAGCGAGAAGAAAGAGTCCAAATGGGGCATTGGCACAATTGCCATTATTCTCGGGGCTCTTGCTCTGTGCTTGGGATTGAAGAGGAAGAGAGATAAAGATCATGCTGACGACAAGACCGAGTCCTCCTATCCAAGCTCATACTACTACTATTCTGATTATTACTCGGGCACAGGGAGTACGTCTGCCCCCATATATCCTCGCAAACGAAAGAGATTTACTCCGTACTGACTTTCTTTTTTTTAAACAGGTAGCCGAAGCTCTGACAGACGAACTAGGGATACGCGACGGTCGCGACGATCACGAACTCGCTCCGACCGTCCATGATATCTGATGTGAAGGAGACTCTGTTTCTCGTTCACCTCGGTTTTTGGGCTCAACGACTTCGATTTGATTATGCATTTATGGCGCTGGATTTATGACGTGGCTAATGTATGATTACGATTTGCACGATGATTTTGCTTTTGTTTTTTGGTCTTGAAGGTTGACAATATTGCGTTATTTCGATGTCGATATGAGAGACTTATGGCACACCACGATGTACATATGAGATTATGAGCATTAATTTGACATGATAACACGATTCCTCTATGCTGTACTTCTTTATTACTGTCTAGTAAATATTTACATGATATAATCGCCGTTCCCGGGCACTGGCATGAAATAACTATGAGCAACCGGCGCATGGGAATTGCAATGGCTACGGAAAAGCAAACAGCTTGCAGGAAACAATGTGCTATGTTCGGATACCCTGCAGTTTGACAACCCAAAGTACACAAAACCAATAAATTTCAAGTCAAATAAGATAAAAGACTAGAAAAGACAAAAGAAAATGATTATAGAATATCCAAGACGATAAGACAAGAGACAGACATGTTCAAGGCCAAAATAGATCCCACAAAAGTTAGGGGTGGCACTTTAACTCCCCGCCTTCACTTCCGCCTTTTCCCACCTCCACACTCCTCTATTCTACCCTGTTCGAACCATTCTACCCATTCTACCACTCTCCTTGCAACTCGTTTTCAGTCATCAATGATTTCAGCTTCGGGATTAAACTCCTGACGTTATTAGCCTTATTTCGACTTTATCCCAGCCCCCATTTTGCCGTCCCTTCGCCTGAGTTCCGATCCTTCGGAGTATTACGAGTCTCCGAAACGACTCATCACCCACCATGCTTCAAGCGCAGACCCAGCACGTCTTCTCTCACCAGCATCAATACCCCCAGGCTGATCCTTCGTGGATGCAGCATCAGCAACAGCAACAGCACCACCAGACTCAGCCGCACCCACACCAGTCGCAGCAGCAGCACGCTTCCCTGGTCGCCCAACAGCATGCCCAGGTGCAAGCTGCCGCTGCCGCAGCACAGCAACAACACTATGGCCGCATTGCCATGAGCGGTAATGGCACTGGAAACCCCACACAGGGAGCCGGTGGCGCCGGCGGCATGGGTGGAGATGGTATGTCAAGTGCGGCCTCCGCCATGGACGGTGGAGTCAGTGAGGAGAATCGCAAGGTTTTCATTTGGGTCGCCGAGTTATTGGATCCAGCTCGCAGAGAATCTGCTTTGATGGAACTGAGCAAGAAACGGGAACAGGTCCCCGAACTGGCCCTGGTTATCTGGCACTCTTTTGGTATGGCTCCATTTCCAACGTGCGCCCAGCCCCGTCTACAATAACTAACGGTCGGAAACTTGCAGGTGTCATGACTGCGCTCCTTCAAGAAATTATTTCGGTATATCCGCTCTTGAACCCTTCTCAGCTGACTGCCGCTGCGTCAAATCGAGTCTGCAATGCGCTGGCGCTTTTGCAATGCGTCGCATCCCACAATGAGACCCGAACTCTATTCTTGAACGGTGAGTACTATGTCTACCGTGACCCATGTAAAAGCGATCACTAATGTCCCTTGTTCAGCTCACATCCCTCTTTTCCTCTACCCCTTCCTCAACACTACCTCCAAGTCTCGTCCCTTCGAATACCTCCGACTAACATCGCTGGGCGTCATCGGCGCATTGGTGAAGAATGACTCCTCTGATGTGATCAACTTCCTCCTAACTACGGAGATCATCCCTCTCTGCCTGCGCATTATGGAGACGGGATCAGAGCTGAGCAAAACTGTTGCTATCTTTATCGTACAGAAAATTCTTCTTGATGATATCGGCTTGGGCTACATTTGCGCGACATATGAAAGATTCTATGCTGTAGGCACTGTCCTGAGCAACATGGTTACACAGTTGGTGGAGCAACAGACTGTCCGTCTTCTGAAGCATGTTGTGCGCTGCTTCCTTCGGTGAGTTTTTATGCGATCTTCCTCTTCGTGAGCATCGCTAACAGCAGATACAGACTCAGTGACAATAGCCGGGCCCGAGAGGCCTTGCGACAATGTCTTCCCGAACCTCTTCGGGACGCCACGTTCTCCTCCGTCCTCCGTGACGATGCAGCCACCAAGCGCTGCCTGGCTCAACTCCTCATCAACTTGTCCGACACCGTCTCGGATGGAGCCCCGGCAGCCATGTAACATACGAAAAGCATCTGTTTCTTTCTCCTGAAATATTTTACTTATGATATGCATGGGAAAGGCTTCTGGCGATTAACGGACACAAGGCGCAAAATTGTGGTTGAAGAACTGAATGGATCCAGTGCGTGAGGTATGTCATCGATTGAGGGCATCGGATCCAAATTTGTTTTTTTCTTCATTCCTGGTTTCTCTCTTTACCGCATTTATATTGGGTTTCTTGAGGGTTCGGTGATCTGCGTTGGAGGGAGGTTTTAATGTATTCTTCTGCCTTTCTTTTTTTTTTTTTTTTATCTTTGCTTTGCATTTTGCTTGTGGGAATATGTTTCTTCTCTTTGATTGTCATTGATTTTTTCATTTTCGACGGGACCCTTCTGTCGTGTGGCGCGAATTATGGTTGGCGCTGTCGTCTGTGTGCATTTTTCTCCTCGTCCTTGACGACCCCCAACTGCTCTGTGTGAGATAGACCTTTGAGCGAGAGATATCCAAAGATTCAGGCGTCTGCTGTGTTTTTTCTGCTTTTTTCTGTTTTCTCTTGTGTATATGCGATTTTGTTTTCAAAAGCATGAATGTACCTGTCTCCGATTCATGAATATTCGATCTTTCATTGTTTGCATAATCTGATTGTATAATCTTCTTAAGCGTCAACCTGAATTAAGATTAATTACACGATCGACAAGATAAATTTGCTCTAAATTCTCACTTCTCCCCTTGTTAAATTCGACAAACGTATCTTCTCACGTGACACGGTCCTTGACGCGCCGCCTTACTGATCATCTTGCCTCACGACACGAAAAAAAAGCCCCAGACTTGACCTTCATATTTCTTGGGCCTTTTTCAATTTTCCACGCTCCAATTTCTCATTTGAAAGTTAGGCACTTTCTGGCTTTCATCTCCGCTCAAATTTCATTCCAGTGAACCCCCTCCATTGAACGCCTGCGAGAAAACCGGCCTTAACGGTTGTCCCGCCGCGATGGGATCGCGAAAGCGCACCCACTCCGAGGTCGCTCCGGTGGCCGAGCAACAGGCACCAGAAGAGCCTGGCTTGCTCTCACAGCTCAGAAGTAACTGGGCATTTGCAAGTCTCATGCAATACATTGCCATATTTGGCCAGGTCATGAAGATTGACGAGGAGTTTGGGATTGAGGTATGTCTATTAACATCCTCTGGGATGAGACCAATACTGCGCTTCGTGTCGCATTGATGAGAAGACACACAAACGCATCTCATTTGATTGAATCACTGCTGATATCCTTTGCCCCACGCTAGGACCTAGAAGTCGAATGCCTCAAGCCCGAGCCCTCTCATAAACTACTAGAGATTGGATTGTGTCTCCTCAAGTGGATTTCGTCGCATCGCGGTCTCACGTACGTATACTGGAACACGTTTCTTGCTATCCTAAGCGATCACACTAACACTACTGTGTTCACAGCCTCGACAATTTCGATGAGTACACCCGACGCCAGTACAATGCGAAAGCACCCAACAAGTCTAATCCCTTCGGCCATGATGAAGAACCAAACAAGTTCTTGCATTTTGACGTTTTCACCAAGATCCGTGTCCTCCATCAGTTGACGGTATGGACATTCTGGAACCCAGACCGCATTCGCGACAAGATGCCTGAAAAGAAGGAAACCGAGCAGACAGAATGGGTAAGCTAGTTCTCTTATAGCTTTAACTCACGGTTATCGCATACTGACCTTCCCCAGCGTATTGAAGAATTTGGCTGGGACCGTGAGGGCCGCTCATACTATGTGCTAGATGACAATCGTCTTTACCGTCGCACCGACCCTCCTCCGCCTCCCCCTCCACAGCGCCCCAAGAAGAAGGCCAAGAGCCGGTCCTCTCGAGTATCAAGAACATCAAAGCGTACCTCTACGGCAGCGGCGGAAGAGGGTTCCGACGAGGAAAGCAAGGATACCAACGATGCAAGTGCCGTCGCGGCCTTTGCTGAAGACCCTTTCAAGTGGGAGTGTGTAGCTGTCACACTTGGGGAATACCAGGCTTTCTTAGAGACACTCCAAAAAAGCAAAGACGCAGACGAAAAATACTTGCGCGATAGCATTTTTAACCATGTCCTGCCTATCCTGGAAAAGGCAGAGGAGGCGCAGCAGCGCAAGCGCCAGAAGCGTGAAAAGGAGCTTCTGAGCCTACAGCTGGTTGCAGGTGCTAAGAGATCTAGTCGACTTGCCGCCAAGGAAGAAAAAGAACGACAGGAACGAGAGGCGGCTGAAGCCGCCCAAAAGCGTGAAACCGACCTGGCCGAGGCTCGTAAGGAACAAGCCAGGCAACATCAGCTTGAAGAAGATCGACAGTCACGTACAATGACTCGCGAGCAGCGCATCAGAGACCGTGAACAGAAACGACTGCTGCATGAGGCGGAGCTGGAAAGAATCGCTGAAGAACAAGAAAGAATTAATAAGGGTGAAAGCAGAGTGTCTGCCCGAAACCTCCAGGCCGACCTAGAGAAGTCCCAGAAGAATCTGGCAGGGCTTACCCAAGATGACCAATGGGTCTTTGATTGCTCTGGTTGTGGAGTGTATGGTGAGAATTTGGTGAGTTCTAGCTTCCAAGCACATGGCAGGCTTGGTCTAACATTTTCCTAGGATGACGGAAGTCACAGTGTTGCCTGCGAAAAATGCAATGTTTGGCAGCATAGCAAGTGTCTTGGTATCTCACAGGAAGCGGCCGAAAAGGAAGACTTTCACTTTGTCTGCCGAGACTGCAAGCAAAAAGAAGAGGATGCCAGTAGACCCAAACTTCCACCCCTCAAGTTCCGGGTCAGCGCTTCAGCATCTCCTTCAGCTGCTCCTCCGGCCAGTAAGAAGCACAAGTTGGAGGATGACGAAGACCAGGCCCCGCCCTCGCCTGTGAAGAAATCACATCTAGCTCTATCCAATATTCAAAACGAACCCTCAAGAACACAACCTACTCTTCACTCGTCCGCTATCGGTGGCAATTTCTATCCTCCTCCGTCTCCCCAGCGTCGGGTCCATCACACAGATCACACTCCCCTTCCATCTTCAAGCCCCCCTCGCCCACCATTTTCTCCGCCAAAGGGCATGAATGGATTGCTGCATGCCGCTATGGAGCAGCACCAGCATCCCTCCTCCCCTCAGCACTCTTTGCCGCCTATGCAACCAGCTTCTCACCTTCCCCCCCCTCGGATCGTTTCCTATGCGGCCCTCCTCCTCTCACTCTGCCCAAAGCCCTGTTCAGAATCAACCCTCTATGTCACCTACACAGGGAAACCCCGATGTTGGCCCTATTGCGGGCTTCCCGCCTGTTGGTCCAAGCCATGCGCCGTCTCCATGGAGCTCTTTCGAGACTCCGCGTCCACAGTCAGGTCATGCAGCCACTCCGTCAATGTCTAACCACTACCCGTCTTTCTCTGCCGCGACGCCTAACGGCAATCAATCTTCGCCTCCTCAAAGTTCTCACGGCATGGCTATGTCGGGGATTAGTCCAACTAAGCAGTCACCTCGTCCGCTTACTGCCAGTGGTATGGCAGGCGCACCAGTTCTGCCGCCCATCCGCAGACTAGAGCCGAGCCCGAAGCTCATGGGCCGTAGCTCTCCAGATGCCCCGATTCCACCACCTGTCAAATGCATGACTCCTGAGCAAGAGGAACGCCGACTGAGAGAGAATGCTTCAATGCTACACCAGGCCCACCACTACCAGGGCAATGGCCAGCACCTGATGTCATCGCCCTCGTTGAATCGCCTTCCCCCCTTGGGGTCTGGGACCACGTCTCAGTACCCTGATCCTGTTCCTTCACCTCAGCGTGGAAGCAATGGCCAAGGCCAATGAACTTCCAGGATAATAGTATGAACAGCGTGTGCTTTTTTTTCCATTTATCATTTTATAGTCCCCTTTTTTGAGTTTGAAAACATATGATCACCAATTTGGATACATTCTGAAGTCGCTATCGGAATCCAGAACCACAACTTGTTCTGCAGTGAATTTTGAGCAGACATGATCTGTGCTGTTGGCCTATTTTTCGACGTCTGTTTTGACTTCTGCAGATCGTGGTTAAGTGGGCGCAAATGGTATCCATCCGGTTATGTTTTTCCAGGTTGTCCGGAGTCATTTTCCATGGAGACGACATCCCATACATTGCATCTCAACATGTGCCAATTTAAGTCTTTTGGCCCGACAGACGCTTGTGTTCTTTGTCTTTCCTAAACGTTCTGCTATTGCAGACGAACCTTGTTGGTGTACCGTGTTTTGATAATGAGTTTTCCCTTTATCGTTGGTGTCAGGGCTCTGTCTCGTGGGAACATTCCTTCAGATCTCTTTGGAGTTTCTTGAGACTGGTGGGCTGGCGTTTGAAACCCTTTTTTGTTTGTTTCTTTTCTGTTTTACAATGCATCAAGATGGATGGGGACTTGAGCGGCGTTATCAGATGGTCTGGCCCTGACACCATTGTTTTGGTTGGCGAGGACATGTATTCTAATAGACAATCTTATTTGATTTCAATCTTGAAAATCTCAACAGTTGATGGAAGCATACATAGATTTGAAGTTTTTGGATAAGCTCAAGATATATATGTATTCTAGGCCTATAGATTTGCAGTCCCCTTGTCCAGATATTGAAAGAACTTATACAAAGCAAAATAGCCCTAATTCCTGTTGTCCTGACCTATTGTAAACCATCTTAGTCGATTAAATACACCACTTTAACATCTATTTCCTTTACAAGACGGCTGCATATCCATCCTATAGTCCATGTAGATGAACGTGGTAGTTAACACAAAAGTATTACGCTCAGTCCAGATCGAAATCGACTGGTACGTCGATTGACATATACCCCTGGGTACAAATGCAATGCCCAAACGCAGTCCTGCCCAGCTGAGCAGGTAACAGTATGCGCCTGCTGACCTACCGAGCTGCATAGGTACTACATCCCTGTTGGTCGCGAACGCGGCTGGCAGCATTTGAACCCTTTGACCCTAGCCCCGGTCTCTCAATCATATTATGCGACTTCTTTATTAATCTATTTCT